GAACAGTTGTATTGACTCGTTTTACACTCATCGGTGTAACTCGAGTCGGGCAGGTAAGAGGCAAGTCCAGGGCTTCAAATCGGTGAGGCGCCACTGGCTCGATTACTGGCATTATAAGTCATTGAAATGTAAGGTTGGTTCAAGGGACGCCATCTTTTTCATATTTGCCCACGGCGTCATCACCTCTACTTTCGGCCCGGCTGTGAAGTTTTACAGGTAACGTAAATAATGAAGCTGTCTTTTTCATTTACATATTGCAGCAACACAATGACAACATTATGACAACGAAGAATATAACTAATGTTGAATGTAGTAAATGTGTTTTTGTTGTTCAAAAGCGTTAATTAAATTGCAGGTTGATTACGAATTTCGAATCTAATTTTCTATAATTTTGCTTAGCTTAAAAAAACACTACCATTACTACACACCCATAAACTGGATCCTAGCTTACCAAATATTCAATTGAGTCAGTTACCCATCAAGCATTACAGGGTAATAATATTCATCTCAATTAATAGATACTATTAGATAATTAATAGATTTCACGTTTTTCTTATTTTGATTTTCTGATGACCCTTAATTCTTTAGTTAATGATTGAATAAGCTAATGGCTAGTTCTATGCCAATAAAATATCCCTAGAAATTCCCCTATCATATCATTAAATATTTGAGCTTAACAATTTTAAAAATATTGGAGTAACAATCGTAAATATGAATGCTCGTCGTTATTTTAAAAAGTGGGTACAATTGAAAAGATTTGAAATTGACAATTTTTCCATTTCACTGAAACAGCTACAATCACTACTTTCTTCGTTTCTTTTTCATTGAAACCAAGTAGCGTCTCTGGTGTGTCTTTTGTTTTTCGACACAATCAAAGCTATTATTTATGAGGTATTGGCAAGATACGTTAAATACTTCTATCTTCCCTTCTTTCTAACTTTCTTTTTTCTTTCTTTTTTTCCTTTTCTCACTGAATCCAAGTAGCGTCTTCTTCTTTCCATACGATCAAAACGAAATAATCCATGAGGTATAGGCAGGGCGTAGCGGTCGTGCGAACTAAGGAACTGACGAAGGGAGGGATGAGCACAATCATTATATGGTGATGAAGTTGACAGAATGATGTAAACTATAATTAAGGAATGAAGAACAACACAAGCAGTCTCTTTGAACTCTTTTGGGGAGAGTCATTATCCTTTCACGTATAGCGTTTATAATTTTTAGAATTGTCATTAAAGAAAGAAAAATAAAATAGTATTTAAGTGTTACGTAATGGCAGTAAATGTTGGACGATTTCCTCACAGATGAAGAAGTTTGAGGCAACAGAAATGTGATTCTACAGAAGGATGCTGAGAATGCCATGGGCTGAACATGTGAGCAACGATGAAGTTTAATGAAAATGGAAACAAAAAAGACACTTATACTTAGAATTAGTAAAAAACAGTTGAAATTTCTAGGGCACATAAGTTGGAAAGAGGGCTTGGTAAATTTGACACTAAAAACACAAAATTGAAGGCAAAGAGAAACGAAGAAAGCAGCGAATAATCAACCCGGCGAGCTCGTGGTAAATGTTTGGCAAAACAGAGATTAGAAGAAGTAGCAAAAAGACAAACTTTACTATGAGCACTAAAAGGCAGGAAGTTGTGGAGAACTACGATCGCCTACGTCCTGAAGGGAAACGGCACATAGAATAATAATAAGAAGAAGACATTATTCTGTCACATATATCTTTTATAACCATTGTAATTTCCAGAGTTGTTCGGTAAATAAAACTCGTTTTTTCTTGTTTCCTTTCTCCCTAACACCTTTGCTACAATTGGTTTAACAAAAGATTGACTTCATAAGATACCACACACATATGCCAAAGAAAATATAAGGAAGAGGATTGTTATTCCTGTAAATTTATGCACGATAAAGTAAATTATGTGCAAAGGAGGACTTAGGCGTGAAAAACTCACATTATTCACTTGGAAATTTAGTCCAAATTCTAAATTTCAAACATTGCAGGAAAGTGAGAAAATTGTTGGAAGTCCCAGTTGTTCGTATGAACTTCAACGCGATTTAGTTTATTTTGTATAGACAGTACAAACATTGAAGAGAATAACTGTGAGTGTAATAATATAATTGGTTTGATTTGTTTTACGGCATATCAACCTCATTGGATTATTTAATGCCGACAACATTTTAGGATAGATTAGTATGAATAGAATATGTATTCTTTGGTTTAGATTGGTTTGGTTTATTTTGTTTTACGGCATATCAACCTCAATGGGTTATTTAATGCCGACAACATTTTTAGGATAGATTCGTATGAATAGAATATGTATTCTTCGGTTTAGATTGGTTTGGTTTATTTTGTTTTACGGCATATCAACGTCAATGGATTATTTAATGTCGACAACATTTTTAGGATAGACTAACAGCATGGCCCGGCGTTGCCCGTGCTTGATTCAAAAATCGTACGACTCATACAGCAATCGCTATCACTTGACTTAAATAAATATGGTAACAAAAATGAGGACAATAGTCCGAATAATGTAAATAGTGTACATAAAACCTCATCTCAGAAATATAGAAAGATACTAAAAGGCCGAAACGTTGTAATAAATATGGCAACAAAGATAAGGACAATGGTCCGAATAATGTAAATAGTGTATTATAATACCTCATCTCAGAAATATAGACAGATACTGAGGTAAATCCTATTTGTCCTGTTTTTGTTCAATTCGGCAAATATCTGGAGATTGTCATTAGGACACAAGGGATGTATTAGCGACGTGGTTACTTATGTCGTGCTAGAAAAATGTTTTCATCAGAATCTTATCTTAAATATTTATAAGTCTACCATTTGTCCTTGCTTTGAATCTTGTTGTCAAACCTGGTCTGGTGATCCTGATATATATTTATAGATTATTAATAAGATCAAAAGAAGACTCTGCAATATTATTGATTCTGACGTGGCAGCTCAGCTTTAATCCCTTTCTCACCACCATAATGTAGCTTCCTCGTGCCTTTTCTGTAATTACTTTCATGATAATTTTTCTGATGAACTTTTCGCGATGCCGAGCTGGGTAAACTACAGGGAATTCTAATTCTAAATTAATAATTCTAATTATAAAATAACTAAATTAAAAATGAATTCCAAATCTAGTTTCCACGCGATACATAATTCATTCATTTTCCGCATTTAATGCGGAACAGGTAACAGTCAGCCATCTTTAAAATAAAAATCAGTGAAAAATGAGGAGCAGAATAATAATAATTTGATAAAAATTTAGAGAAATATGCAATAAGATCAAAATAAATCGAAAGGCGCATGCCCAGGTTGGACCATTTGGTAATGGCAATGGTAATATTAGCTATTTCCTTATAAGGAATCATTCGGCATTCATTGATCGAGAAGCCATTGTTAGAGTCGGTTGAAATATATAAATCTTTCTCTTAGAACAATTTTAAAGGAAAATAAGGTCATCAAGTTCACTATGTGTTTTTGCTCATTCCAGTATTGACCGGAAATTATTTATTATCTTTTGTTTGAAGTCGTGTGGAACTTCAATATTTTGATTATGTCATTATTTTCTCTTCGAGTTACATGTGTTATCCATTTTAATTATTGCTACTGTTGAAAGTTCTCAAGCGATGTAGTTTCTATTATTTAGGATCGTTCTTTGCTTATGATTGTGTAGCGTCAGTTCACAAAGTGCATTGTCTTCACTAAGTCATACAGGCTTCATTCATTTGAAGCCATTTTTAATCATTGATCTGAGAAATCGGATGTATATTGCTGACAGTTTAGATATTTCTGAACGATTGTGGCTCCATGTTTGGCAAACGCATGGAAGCCTCGATCTGACTCAGCTATTTACTTCCGTTATGAATATGAGTTTAGCTACTGCAACTATTTCAACCACGAGACATCACTATAAAGTGTAGATATAGAACTTAATAGAAAGTGGAAAATTAGGAAGAGCCATGGTCAAAAATTCATTTTCTTGAATTTCTGCAGTAAGAAACATAAGCCATCAATACCAGGGCGATTTCTGCAAAGCTTTAGGCGAGCAAAAAGGTCTAAGAATTGTAGATATATAATTATGCATTTCTGAATTTACAAGAATTGTATATATTTTGGCAAAGG